GACTGTCTATTTTGTGGGGGGAAGCCAAAGATGGTGGAGCAGGTGCTTCGTGATTGTTCATTGACAACGTCAGTATGGTTTTCAAGTATGGGCATTCGAACCACGGAGTTTAGTAGATTGAATGTGCAAGAATGGATAATTCATTTGGTTCACGTTTCACCCACTCCAACTTTCAAGCTGAGTCTCATGATTCTTTGGATGATCTGGAAGGTACGAAGTGAGTTTTTTTTTTTTTTTTTTTTTTTTTTTGGGAAAGAATCCCAGTTACCACCATGTGACGCGAAGGGATGACTCTCGGAATATTGAAAATGGCATTTGCCATTGGTGCAACAGCGGGTAAAAACCAAATAGAGGTGGAAGAAACCTGAGGATGGATGGATTAAATTAAATTTTGATGGAGAATGGGAAGATGACAAAATGCCACCGAGTGGGGGTGGTTGTTAGTAGTTATGAGGGCGCCTTTGTAGTGGCATTCGTAGGTCCTTGTTTGGTAGCGTCTTTTGTGTTGCATGTATAGTTGACTGCAACAAAAAGTGCTGCAATTGTTGCCCAACAATTAGGCTTGAGTGGGAAGTGGTGCATGTTCGAAAGAGATTCAGTTGTCATCATTGCTGCCGTGAATGGTCAAGGAGATAATTTCTCTCCACTCACTCCTATTATCAATGATGTTCGTGTTTTGATTAATGATTTTTCTCAAATAAAGTTCTACCATGTTAAAAGAGAGGCTAATCAAGTTGCTCATAGACTTGCTCGCACTGGAATGAGTTGTTCTTAGGAGTTGGTGTGGCATGAAGAACCTTTAGATTTGAATGCGGATGTACTAGTTGAATATGTTTCCTATTAATTGTATCCATTTGATTTGCTTGTGAGGATAGCAAACTTTAGTAGTTTATTTGGGACGGTCTTTTTCTATTTGATAGGGTTGAAATCTCCGAAAAAGTTTTTATTGAGACCCATGTAAGTCTTAATCTTTCAGTATATGTGTTAAAGCTATGAAATTGAGAATAAAGAGATAGGTGGGAAGAGAGAGATTTAACAACGAAATTGTTAACTTTGGATATTTCACACTAAGGTCAAATGACTAATACACTATGGTTTTCTAGAAACCATTCTTACAACAACAATAATTATAATACCCTCTAACAATCTCTAATCACAACCAACTCAACCAATTACAAGTTGACTAATGTCATCATCTTAGTATAGCTATTACTCCCCCCTCAAACTCAGTTAGGAATTTCCAAGCTAAGATTGTAGAGCACATGAGCCATCACAGTGTTGCTGCTGTAGACACCTTCCAACAAGATTACGCTACATAGAAAGACTAGTGACTGGAAAATCCCTTCAAAAAAGACTTGAACCGTTGGTGTAGCCATGATGAAAGACACAAGTACAATCCACAAATCAAAACAAATGAATTCTTCTAGGCAGCAAGAGAGTGGTACTCTTGACAAATTCTAAGGCAACAAGAGAATGATACTCTTGACAAATTATGTGGAACGAAAGAAAGAATGATACTTTCTTAGCCATAAAAAAAGAATGACACTTTCTTGAAATCTTGTAATCCAACAAAATCACAGCATGAAACAATAGTTTCATCTCATTGGATTCATCCAAAAGTAAGAAAAACCCCAGTTTTCAGCATAAACCCATATATATATATATATATATATATATATATATATATATATATATATATATATATATATATATATATATATATATTCAAGAAACCGACTATGAATATCAAAAGCACAAAAATAAAACAAAATCGCCAGAAAACCACACCAAGAATGTAACACCAAACCACCTAATACTTTCACTGAGGGATCCATACCAAGAGCTGCATACATTCATATATACTCCTTGATTGCAAGGATAATGACGAATATGGATGCCAAGAGGCCCAATGTAAATGCAAATGGTGCTGCAATTACAATTGCACAAAGTCCTGCCTTGCAGATTTGCAAAAGCATTCCATTTTGAGCATATTTTGTTCATCACATACTACAAGACATATCCTACACAATTACACAGTTGCTTCTCCATAAACACCAAATGTCTCAAGAATCATTGCTAGGAAATCACATATCAATTGCAGTAAATTTTCACTAAGTATTGCACCTCAGACAGACCAAAATCCCTAACAAGCCCAGAGAAAAATGTGGAAGTGCAACGAAATACAGAATCGAAGGTTACCCAGATTGTTGGTCGTAGTGAGAAACAAATGTCACAAACCTTTGGTGCCCACACAAAACTTAACTACTCAATAAAGACTTCAAGCCCTCAAAATCAACAAACAATCGAAAACTTCGATATGATTCAGATCACAAAACTCACATGCAATTTCACAAAGATTCAAGATATAAAAGAAAGGGGTGTGCTATCTACACACCCATTTTTACCTCTCTCACACCCTTTGTTAACTTCTGTGATTTGATCTTCTTCAATTCATCATATTCGACGATCGAAAATTAAAAGGGTGTGAGAGAAGTAAAAACAGGATGTATGGATATCACACCCAAGGAAGAAAATATCGGTAATATCGGAAATATCGGTAGTCCGAAAACACGGAAATATCGATGGAAATATCGGGATAATATCGATATCGATAAAAATTACATGGAAACCACGGAAATTGTAAGAAAAACTTGGAAATTTTTATTGAAACTTTGCAGGATGTTTATTTAGTCAATTATCTATTAGTTTATCACAAAAAATTGGAAGGAAATGCATTACATGATGGATTTAACTGATTTAAGTTGATTATACAGCGAGCTGGCAAACATTATGAGTGAAGAAAATATGTAGTAATTAATGAAAAAAAAATTAAACACACCATAATAATTTATATATAATGATTTACTACAACTTTCGAGTAAAACTCATATTTTAGTTTTTAAATCTACCCTAATTCTGACATACTGCCGCACCCATCATTTCTCTACTACCTTTCTTCCTTCTTCACGTGGGATGTACCTCCCTCATTTTCTATTATTTCTTTCCTTTCCACACACACACACACGCACAGACACACCCCACTCCCTCATTTTCTATTATTTCTTTCCTTTCCACACACATATTTTCTATTATTTCTTTCCTTTCCACACACATACACACGCACAGACACACCCCACTCCCTCATTTTCTATTATTTATTTCTTTCCTTTCCTTTCCTCCACACACAGACACACCCCACTCCCTCATCTCTCGATCCATCTCTCAGATCCTCCTTGTCCGCGTCTCCCTCTGCTCCTCCCTCGCCTTCCTCCTCGTCGAGCCCGTCACCATGTCCCGCGACCTCTACCTCTCCTCCGTCGTCCCCATCGGCGTGATCCTCCTCGTCCGCATCTCCCTCTGCTCCTCCCTCACCTTCCTCCTCGTCGAGCCCGTCAATATGTCCCGCGACCTCTACCTCTCCTCCGTCGTCCCCATCGGCGCGATCCTCCTCGTGCGCGTCTCCCTCTACTCCTCCCTCGCCTTCCTCCTCGTCGAGCCGTTGCTGTCTACTCCATCGGCGTCGCCTTCAAGCAATGTTGCAATAATATCGCTAATATCGTGATAATATCGCTAATATCGCGATATTATCGCTAATATCGCGATATTATCGATATTATTTCGATATTTTGACGAAAACCTATTGGATATGTGTAGAAATATCGGACTTCCAAAAAAACGATAATATCGGCGAAATATCGCCGATATTATCGATTTTTTATACCATGATCACACCTATAAAAGAAAAACTAAACCAATTGAAGAAGAAGCCTGAAGAATAACGATGAAGAAGCAATAAGTCATGGCTGAAGCAAATCGTAGAACACCAGGTGTGCGAAAATACCACCGATATATGAATAACATATTTTTCTCTAAAAAGTTATAGGCAGATGGAGCCCTCCCTGGACGAAACGAAAATTCAGGAAAATACCATGGAGCCCTCCCTGGACGTACACTTTATATTTAGAAGAAGATGGTCACTTGATTTTTTTCTCCAATCTGTTCATGCATTAATTTACAGCAGTTTTTTTCTCATGGAAATTTATTAAATTCTAGGAACGTATATGATCACCTTATCTTTTTTCCTTAATTTATCTTGATAGAAGTTTCGTTTCCGTTGACCAAGATCACGCGTTAATAAAACACGAATTGACCAGGAAAATTCAGGCAATCAAGTTTGGTTTAAGAAAGAAGAGAAGAATTCTTACCTTCCTCAGCCACCACTCCCGTTTCAATCAAATCGATTGTTTATTAATATGATGAGCATCTTTTTCCTGGTCGGATTAATATTCAATTAGCTACTCCTTTAATATAAAATTATTTACTAGCACTGCCTGTCGCTTTGCTATCTACGTTTTAATTAATTAAAACAATCAAATTAAAACAATCAAAGAAACAATTTGATTAGCTGCCCAGTATTGACTGCATCCATATCTGCTTTGTACGAAGACGAACTATTCTTACCCAAAAAACCTATAGCTTGTGATTCGTCCAGTTAAATCTAGTTTAGGCATCGTAGTCAAACTAAAAACGAAATAATTACATCACTAGGTTTTAATTCATTAAGTTTAGTCAATTAGTACTATAATTTAGTAATATTCTTTTTCATTTATAAATAAGAGATTTTTATGTTCAATTCTTGTCAAAAGTGATTTTGAATCACATTATTATAGCTAGCTCATTGAGAGATTTAGCACACTCCTCCACCCCATACACTTTGTGTAGATAATATCGTTTATTAAAAAAATTGATTAAGTTTAATAAGGGACTTTTCTTAGGATTAGAATAAAAAGTTATAGGCCCTCAATTACAATAGAAACCGTCTGAAAATTCTGCATCGTTGAACAGTATTTATTTATGCATAAAGTTGCGCAGTGATATGATCCTATGTTGAACAATATTTATCTACCCACCCCACCAATACTATACCAAATCTTTAAGCGCTGACTTCTTTTACTTTCCTTGTATAAAACGATATGTCCTGAGTTTCCAAAAAAAAAAAAACCACCATGGCGCCATTAAAGGTCTGCTCAAGATTTCTGTTCTTCCCTTGTCCACTTCTGTTGCTCGTTACTATTCAAGTCATTGCTCAGCCAGATTTTCAAGGCGTTGAATGTTTTAATGAGAAAGGTAACTACACCACCAGTAGCACCTACCAAACAAACCTCAACACCCTTCTCTCCTCCCTTTCTTCACCCTCTAACAACGGCAACGGCTACGGCTTCTACAACTCATCCTACGGCCAAAACTCCGACCAGGTTCATGCAATCGCGCTTTGCAGAGGAGACGTTGAGGCGGACGTTTGCCATAGCTGCCTCACAAACTCTACACAAAAGATCACAGAGGTTTGTCCCAACCAGAAAGAAGTTTTTGGCTTTTACGATGAGTGCATGCTGCGGTACTCAAACCGTTCCATCTACGGCATCATGGAAGACTCCTTTTCTTTCTGGTTGTGGAACACACAAAACATAACGTCAGGTGTTGACGGGTTTTTTCAAGAGCTAAGGAAGCTGATGGATGACTTAACTAGTCAAGCTGCAGCGAATGGTTCGCTTCGTAAGTTTGCAGTAGGTTCAACAACAGCTCCCAATTTCCAACCAATATATGGACTTGTGCAGTGCACGCCGGATTTTTCCGAGCTAGACTGCTCTGATTGCTTGGCTCGCGCGGTGGCAGAAATCACAAATTGTTGTGGGGGGAAGCAAGGTGGTAGGGTTGTTAAACCCAGCTGTAATGTTAGGTACGAGATCTATCGCTTCTACGATCCTACAACTGTGGCACCATTGCCCTCATCGCCACCAAGTCCTCCTCCATCGTCAACCAACAACACAAATTCAGGAGGTACATGTATATATTGATACGTAAATATCTACATATATTATGATGCTTTAGTAGAAAATATGTACTACTTTAAATATATCCAAATTATGGTTTGATTAATTAAAAAGATTTCGGGTTTTTGCAGGATCGAAGAATAACACATCTCGGACTGTCATCATTATCGTTGTGCCAATTGTTGTTGCTCTAGTACTAATCATATTCATCTTCGTTTGTTTAAGAGTAAGGAGAACAAAGAAAAAGCTTGAAACTAGTAAGTTACTTTCCGGTAATGAAACAAAAATAATTAATTACGAACATTTAGAGTTCACCATGTTGCATCTCTACTCCATAAACAACGAACATTTTAAACAATGATCTTATACAGTTTTCTTGTTAAATTGTTCATCAGGGGGTGACGATACAGATGAAATTAGATCTGCAGAGTCCTTGCAATTCGACTTTAGCACCATTAGGGTTGCCACAGAGGACTTTTGTGAAGAAAATAAACTCGGACAGGGTGGATTTGGTCCTGTTTACAGGGTAACCATACATCATTGTTTCGAAATACACACACACACATATATGAAAAACTATATAAATTATGTGCCAAGCTAAATTTCATATTTCTTGAATGAAACTTATCTCATTTTTTTAATGATAATTTATTTTTTCTGATAAATTTGTTTTTTTTTCAGGGTAAGCTTTCCAATGGAGAAGATATAGCTGTGAAAAGGCTCTCTACGAATTCTGGACAAGGAGATTTAGAATTCAAAAATGAAGTTTTGCTAGTCGCCAAACTTCAACACCGGAATTTAGTTAGACTTTTAGGTTTCTGCTTAAAAGGAAACGAAAGGCTTCTTGTCTATGAGTTTGTCCCCAACGCAAGTCTCGATCACATCATATTCGGTATGTCTGGAATTATGCTTTATACTCTCTGAACTTTTCCTAAATTAATTTTTCTATTGATAATTCCAATTCTGTGACATGCAAGAAAACATTGTAATTGAAGTCTTTCTTTTGCACGAATATGTAGACACAACAAAGCGTGCACAACTGGATTGGGATAGGCGCTACAAAATTATAGTAGGGACTGCTCGAGGGATCCTTTACCTCCATGAAGACTCTCGTCTTAGAATTATTCATCGTGATCTCAAAGCTAGTAACATCTTAATCGATGAAGAAATGAACCCCAAAATTTCAGATTTTGGCATGGCAAGGTTGTTTGTGCTTGATCAAACTCAAGGCAATACTAGTCGAATTGTGGGGACCTAGTAAGAATGCACTTAACTGCCTCGGGGGCTTATGTTATAGCAGTGTTTGTTTGTCATAATTTCCTAAGTTTCCATTTATGTTGATGAAACTTGACCCTTTTCTTGTTTATATGTAGCGGGTATATGGCTCCAGAGTATGCAATGCAAGGACACTTTTCTGTTAAGTCTGATGTTTATAGTTTTGGTGTGTTAGTTCTAGAGATAGTAAGCGGGCAGAAAAACAATTTTTTCCGTCATGGAGATAGCGTGGAAGATCTTATAAACTTCGTAAGTGAATATATGTATATAAACTCTATGTATTGATACAATTGAGTGCAACAGAACTAAACAAATGTTATCACTGATTATCTCTGCAAATTAATTCACAAATCATTGCAGGCATGGAGGAGTTGGAGAGACGGGACAGCATCAAATCTAATAGATCCGACACTGAAGACTGGTTCGAGAAATGAAATAATGAGATGCATCCACATCGGACTATTATGCGTGCAAGAAAATATGGGTGATAGACCAACCATGGCGTCGGTTATTATGATGCTGAATAGCTACTCTCTTACTCTCCCAGTGCCCTCGCAACCAGCATTTTTTATGCATAGCAGCGGCGGAACAGAATTGTCTGAGTCACGAGGATGGGAGAATTACTCAGGGGTGACAAAGTCGGATCAATATTCCAAAAGCAGCTCCGTCAAAGTACCGGAACATGAGGTTTCCATATTAAGTGAAACATATCCTCGCTAGAGCTTCAAGATTGAAATTGATTTATGAAATTATAATGTATTTGGAGTTTTAGTATTTTTGTAATTCATTTTTATTCTTTATGGATGGTGCATGTGTTGGAGAGAGTTGACCTTTTGTAATTAGTTTAGTTGCCCGTTTGGGTCCTTATAATCAGGATGTGATTAGGGTAGATATTATTTTATGTTTCTTCCCTTGTAAATCAATCTTGTACAGTATATATTTCTCTTGGTGAGAAGAATAACATCATACAATTAAACCTCAAAATAAGTCCTAATTAGCATGGTATTAAAGCAGAGATCCTAGGATTTTTGCTCTGCCCGTTCCCTTAAGCAAACCCAGCCCTCCCATGAAGAACCTACCACCACTCCAAGGTGAAATCAAAATCCCCATCCTAACCGATACTACCTCTATCCTAAACACTACTACCCTAACTAACCCTACCATGAATCATACCCCATCTCTACCACAAGTTGTTACACAAATTGTTCATCATGATTCTTCTACGGCTTCAATTGGTATCAAGCTCAATGGTGCCAATTATGGAGTTTGGTCTCAAAATTTTGAGATGTTTGTTGCTGGCAAAGACAAGTTGGGCTACTTGTTTGGGAGTAATCCCCAACCCCTACTGACAATCCGGTCTTCACCAAATGGCGTACGGAGAACGCCATCATGAAGGTTGGCTTATCAATTCTATGGAACCCAATTTAATTGGATATTTTCTTCTACTACTAATTGTAAAAGAGGTGTGGGATGCGGTTACTCACTCATACTATGATGGCTTCAATATATCTCAAGTATACGATCTTATTTGCAAGGCTTCTCGCATAAGGCAAGACGGACGATCAATGGAGACATACTATAATGATCTTCAATCTTTGTGGCAAGAGATTGATTATCGTTGACCCAATCCAATGAAGTGCGGTACTGATATTGAAATTTATAATAAAATTGTTCAAACGAATCGGGTGTATACTTTGCTTGCAGGATTGGATGAGATGTTTGATAAAATTCATAGTGATATTCTATGAACTGAGCCCCTCCCTTCTGGTTAACAAACTTTTGCCTATGTTTGACGGGAAACGATGCGACATGCTGTTATGAACATTGTAGGATAACTGCTAAGTGGGGTAGCGATGGTGGTTCGGCCTACAGCATGAGCCACGACTCCACCTTGTCTAAGCGCCCCAGAGAAGCTGCCTATACCCAGCATAAAACTGTAGCGCATGCTACAGCCTTGAACCCAGCATAGGGCTTACTCTTTACTGCCAAGACGGCCTCACAGCCCACCATGGGCCCCTCCGCCCTCCTTGTCGTAAACCATTAGTTTGGGTTGGTAGTTGTACCTACTGTGGTAGTGAAAAGCACGACCGTGACAATTGCTTTCAATTGCATGGCTATCCTAACTAGTGGGAACCATTGAAACTTCAGAAACAACGAGAACGAGACAAGCAAGCCAAGCTTGGGCAAGCCAATCTTGCAACCTCAGTTTCCCAATTATCTTTGATATCATAGGATGATCCTTCTCCCGTGTCTAGTTCTTCTGATGTATCTCTGGAGTCCTTAGGTAATTGTGGTCATGCTTTTAATATGAATGTGATGATACTTAGTCCGGTTGGATCATCGACTTCGGTGCCACGGACCATATGACTTATGACCCCTCTAATTTAGCATGTGATACAGTTACACTTTGACGTAATATTACTAATGCTAATGGTGTCACCTCACCGTGACTGCCGTTGGCACTGTACACCTTATACCCACCTTCTATTTGCATCATACACTAATTGTTGTGTGCTAATGTATTCCAAATTTTATCTTATTTAGGATATTCTCACGAATGAGACAATTGGTTGTGTATTAAGAGGGGGATCTCCATTTTGTGGATGATGTTAGTAAATGCCGAGTTAATCTAACCCAAGAAGCCATAGATCACAAGCGGCATCAAATTTGGTTATGACATCACTGTTTGGGTCATCCGTTTTTCAGTTATTTACAACATTTGTTTTCGAATTTATTTGTTGGTTGTTCTGTTTCAGACTTTAAATGTGACACTTGCGTACTTGCAAATAGTCACCGTGTTTTTTATACTTATTCATTTGGATGTTTAGGGGCCATCCCCAATTAATACTTTATCTAGCATTAGGTGGTTTGTGACTTTCATAGACGATTGCACACGGATGACATGGTTATACCTTCTTAAGCATAAAAGTGATTTGTTTTTGGCTTTTAAGACATTCCACACCATGGTTCAAACACAGTTTTCTACTAAAAACTAGATTTTGTGTTCGGATAATGGCAGTGAATATGTTAATAATGATTTTACACATTATTTGACTAATCACGAAATCTTTCACGAAACTCCTTGCCGTCAGATTCCTCAACAGAATGGGGTGGCTGAGCGCAAAAATTGCCATCTATTAGAAACGGCTCAGTCTCTATTGATTAAGACGCATGTTCCTTGCTCTTCTTGGGATGTCGCTATTCAAACTGCCATTCATCTTATTAACCGAATGCCATCCAAAGTCTTAGACTTTCATACGCCTTTACAAGTTCTTACTACATTTGAGCATCTACAGTTGGTCTTGGTGCTCCCACCTCGGGTTTTTGGGTATGTTGCATTTGTTCGTCTTCATAAGAATCAACGGACAAAACATGACCCGTGTGTTCTCTATCATTTTTTTATGGGGTATGGAATACATAAAAAAGGGTACCGTTGTTACCACCCCCTTCACGACGAATACCATGGATGTCACTTTTTTAGAGCCCGAGATGTACTACTCTTCAGCTCCTTCCAACCTTACTTTTCTGGGGAAGACATCGAATGACGAGCAAGATTAGACCATGGCTGCCACCATCGATCTTCCGCTACCACTTGTTGGAAATGTGCCCTAAAGTCAATCATATGATGATACTTTACGGACATTTCACATGTTAAACTAATCAAGTTTAATATAAAGGGCAAAGATTATTGTTTAAAGCCGTCTCATATAAATGTTATATGCTTAAAAAATAAGTCCAAGGAATATGTAATTGGGAGAATGTGATCTAAAGAAGTTAGATTCATGAGACCATTCATTTTCGTATACATATCCTAAACGTTCCTGATCATAGGATTGCCAATTGGGCATTGACAGTCCATTAAGATCAGTACGTGCTATGTATTCTCTTAGGGAAAGTGACTGGTCTCGAGTCATTGGTGTGACTGATACCAAGACAAGCATGTAGGTGCTTAATAGAGAATAAGTCCACTGAACGCGATCAACAAGGAGTTATCATACTCATGTCACATGAGAACTCATGGTTGGGATAATGCAAAGTAGTCTTTTGACCTGAGGCATCATAGTTGTCTTATGGTTAGGCCCTTGATCTTTGACTATGTCAAAGTCACTCCGTCAAAGGGTGTCCACGACATAGTTGGGGGTTAAGCCACTTAGCCATGGAGGCAAGTGAATGCACAACAAGGGATCTCTAACCTTCAAACCGTTTGACGGAGAATACTCTATGATATGATTAAGAATCTCTGGCCAAAGTATGAATGAGATTTAGGAAGTCGTTCCAAATCACATTCAAGGTAATCATATAAAGAAAAGAATCACATTGATAGTAGACATGAATAAACTATCAAACCAAACAATGTGGTCAAAAGTATTGTATTAGAGAAAGACCGTATTGCATTGTAATCCTAAACTGAATAGGTTCTCCACCTTTTTTTATTAGTTTGGGTAGCCATGATATACTGCTAGGTGTCACTCATGGTTTGTGGAAGCCATAAAAGTGTATAATCACTAAAGAGAGAATTCAAAGTATGTTTCAATTTACAATCGATTTGAAGAGTTCGAATCGCCCACTGCCTCGCAAAAAGGAACCTAATGGATCGTACACCGTGTAAGGTAGAGATTGAAGAAACAACATAGATGAGTAAGGATAATTAAATGGTTTAATTATTTAAGGCTAGGATTAATTAATATGTTAATTAATCAAATGAATAAATTTGTTTTAGATTTTGAGTAATTATTCGACCTCACGACCCATTGGGCTTAGAACCGTCAAGCCCATTAGCTTAAGTTGTTTGACAACTTAATGACTAGAGACTCAAAAAGGCTCAAACAGCCCAAAGCCTTTCGAAGGCCAACCATATTGTAAATGAATGGGTTTTGGTTCTTTTTGTCACTTACGTGAAGTGACTATATAGAGGACTTTATAGCAAAAGTTCATTAGGGTTTTCTAGAGAGAAAAGATGAGAACTCAATGCCCTCTCTTCTCTTAGGAGGCCGGCCACCCTAGAGGAAAATAGCTAGCAATCTTTCTTCCTCTAGGTCACTCATCTCTTCCTCAATGCTCTTCTTGGTGTGGAGACTTAGAGGTTCCCTATTTTGGGAACTTGGAGAATCCATTCCATCATCCATCCAAGAAGTCATAAAGCCAAGAAGCAAAGTTCCTCCATCCACATCCATGGAGTCAAGGAGCAAGAAGACTAAGGAAAGAAGGCCCTCACATGGGTGAATATCATTTGCTAAGCAAAGAGGTGCTTCAAAGGTATAAAAGTTTCTCAACTCGTTTCTTTAATATTTGAGTTGAGTCTTGGTTCACCACAACTACTAGGCCTTGAATTTCATGGGTAAAGTTTTGTTTTTTAGTGCATACAAGCATTTGCCTTTTAATTGTTAATTGCATGCATAGATGTTGCTCAAAGGAACTAGTTTTCACAAATTTTCCCTTCACCACTATCAGCTGAGATAATAGCTGATGCACTGCCAGCCTAGCCAACAACAATTACAACGCTACCCACAGAACAAGCAGCAAGCACGACAACAGTGCTCTCACCACCCACAGCAACAGTGCTAGCACTTGCAGTTTTTTGGACTTTTACTAATACTACTTCCCTTCATCTCCAAATATAGTACCACCAGATGACCATACTCTTGAGAATATTCCTGAGGTAAGCTCTACTATCCCTGTTTATGTATTCAATGTTCCAAATTATCAGTTACCTTTCAGGCAGAACCGAGGAAAGCCACCTAATCGATACTTACTAGGAACAACGAAAGGCTATATGTATCCCATTGCCAACTATGTGTCATCACATAAATTATTAGAACCCGACGAGGCCGTTGTACAACAAATATCCAATGATAGCACACCAAGTTCATTGAAGAAGGCACTATCTGACGATCAATGGACCAAGGCAATGGAGGAAAAAATTGATGCACTTTAGAAAAATTAAACGTGGGATTTAGTTCCGCTACCACGAGGAAAGAAAACGG